CTGTTAGGTGCCATTTAAAATCCTGGTTTTTGCCAGAGAAACAACATGAAAGTGAGTATGCTCCACCACTACTTACTTCCCCTTTCCATATTCTTTATCCCACACAATTAGTATGCCTCCCCTAGTCCCACTAACTTATAGTTGGACATAATCTGCAAATCTACTACCCCAAATTTCTTTAACTATGTTTGCAGTCCCCCAATCCCCCCCCCCAGTTTTCTCTTGAAAACACACATCTGCTTTCCAGATTCTTAACATATTCCTGATCATACACCTTTTCTTCCCACAATGCAGTCCCCTCACGTTCCAGGAAACAATGTTTAAATTCATTGATTCATGATGGACAAATACCCCCCATTACTTCTAGTGCCATTACTGTGAAACTTAGAATCTAGTTGCAGGTTCTTTAGTTCCAATTGCCCTTTCTTCTTGCATGTTGGTCGTTCACTATGCTTCCCCTTACTTTCTCGCTTATTACTGTCAATTTTCATCAATAATTCCTTCCCCCTCTCCTCACTCCTTCGAAATTAACCCAAATTCTGAGCTCAATTTGATTATATTTTATTGTATCCATTCTAAGGTGCTCAGTGTGTTATACTCTTCCTCTGGGAATCGGATGCCCAGTGGGATAACATCCTCTGGTCCTCCAATTGTATTCTCCTCTGCCAGTGCTTGTACCATTATCCCTGTACTTTTCTCTCCCAATTCTTCTTTATTTTTTACAATCATGTCCACCATGTCTCGCAACTTCCAATTCCCCTTCGTCCCTATTCCATGGTGTTATCTGATTTTGAGCTTTATTGTCCTTCCTTTGATTCGTTGCTATCTCAACGTTAAAAATGTCTTCTGAATAGATTTGTAAGGCTTTGGCTCTAGCCTTTTCTCCAGCAATTGGGTCCAAAAGAATTGTGCCCAAATTTGGGCCCAGTTTCCTTTGACCTAGTTTTTGTCAGCTATAAACATTATATTCTCCCCTTTTAAATCTACCTACTTGCATGAGAGACCCCTCACTGGAAGACTTGACATGCCCATCCACTTTTTAGCTGTTATTATCTCTTTTGTTATATGCAAAAGTAGATCTTGGTTATTGACTACTGAGTATTTTTCCTTCTCCTCTCTCCTCTTCTTGAGAATTTCATTGTGACTGGAGCTTCACACCACACCAGAATGGTGTAAGTGAAATCATCGCAAATTATTTCTACTTCTCTAGGAATCCATTCGCCGTCACCTTGTACTTTTATTCTAGCCTAGTGAAGATGATTTTGAGAGAGGTCTCCTCCTCCGTCTCGATATAGCCTCAACATAGGTTACCAATCTCTTTGAAAACCTTCTTCAACCATAGATTCATAGGTAAACCTAGCAGTCTGATCCATACCCAATCTCTCGTTACCTCTTCCAGCCAACACCCAGTTGTTGGTTTCCACCATTCAAGTTCCAACTTCATCTTCTTCTAGGTCTATTGGCCTGTTAAGACATGCTCTGATGCTAGTCTTGACGCTAGTTCAAACATAAAATGGTCGTCGTTCATGACATACACTTCGACTTCTATCGCCAACTTCCAAGAGTTACCGACACATCTACTTACATCATTCAAGTTAGGGTTTTCATTTGTTTGGTATTGGAATTTCCCTACTAAGCATCTATACAAGAGGTCCTTTTATGATTGCGATTTGCCTCCTGTGATCCTTAGTCTGTTTGTTGTGATTTGTATATCTGCCTTCTCCGTTGCCTCCGTCACCCATCTATCACGAAAAAGAGCTTCTTTGTAGGACTTGTGGAATTGTTTGTTTTCCTTTACTGTTAACCCCTGTGTTTCTTTTGGTTCATAAATAAACCCAACAATCTTGTGAGCTATATTTCCCCAACCTTCTTTGAATGTAGATTCTGGAGTAACTATGACAGATTTTTTTTGACCTTGTAATTCTATAAAACTGATGTATCTTCCGCTACTATTGTATTTGAGAGTGCAATCGAACTCTGCAAAGTGGTCCTTCATGTTCCACCTCTTAATTGTCCTCCCTTGCACTTTGGATGGTTCAATAAATACTGCAACCAATCATTTCAAGACTTTAATGCTAATTTCCACTCCTCATCCAACGTTGGTTGCTTTCCACCCATACGAACCAACTCCCAACATTGTCTTTACATCTCGTAATGTCTTAGGACTTGAAACCTGCGTTGTATGTAAAAGATGTTATCTTCCCCTATTGGATGTGTTCTGGCGAGCTTGCCGGATCCACCCATCTGAAACCTAAAGGTAAAACACTTTAAACTAAAAATTGACAGGCCTCGATATCTGTGTCGGAGAGCATATATAATGCATTGACGTTAATGCATGTTCCCCATATTCAGTACATCCAAAGTACTGATGCATATTGTACCTACATTTTTTTTTATAATATAGGATCTAACGCTCCTCCGGTAGAGAGCTCATGCTCCGAGGGCAAGTCGTCGTCATTTTGTTGCTTTTAATGTCTTATCAATTTTTCAAACTTTCTACAAGGTTTAGGGTTTGTTCCTAACCACAACAATTGTCGTAAAAGGCTTTGTCAGACATAGTTGGTTTTCGCATTATGTTAAGTCATGTACTCTTTTGATATTTCCTTACGAGTGGAAAGAGTTTTGAGACTTATATCTCACCTTATGTTAAAATCTCTTTATTTGATATTCATAGCGTCATGCTTATGGCAAGTGGCTTGTTTACAAGGTCTCATTTGTCATGTCACATCTAGGGTGTACTTTGTATAGTGACAGTGAGACTAGTGTTTCTCAACCTTTTTTTTATTTACTTTTTCTTTTCTCAATGAAATGACTCATTCTTTCTTTTCTTCTAGTATGCAAGTCCTCTTAAATAGCCACGTCTTATCTTTATAAGCTTCTCTTTTCTACTTTCCTAGTATAATTACTAAAGTAATCAAAGCTACAATTTAATATTGTACATTAATTATATTTCGGGTTGATTAATTGTAAATGAAAAATTATTTTTTGTGATTGAAGCTATCGTTTAGTGGTTTCCGTTTGAAACTTTATTCTAATAATATCATCATTATTATACACTAGATAATAAGACAAGTAATTTTTATTGCAGTTGATTATTACAAGTCCTTTAATCTATTTACAGTCAGTAGTATCTAACTTCCGGTAAGAATTATGTGCTTCACTTCTCACTTATGAAGGTTTTGTATGTTTTTGCACTTTGTGCTGTCAAAAACAGTAGAGTACAGAAAATATTTGGAACTCAATGGAATTAAGATAGCTAGAGATGAGGAGAAAACAAAACCTTTTCCACCAGTGTCAGCTCAGGGGATAGATTTTGTGCTACAACACGCATAAGAATATCTTTTGAGCTGCATCACAATACCAGCAGACATCTATTAGCTATCCACTACGTAATTGCCAAGCAGTTGGCATGAGAAGATAATAACATTAGTAGATATACATAGAATTAGAGCTTGTTAAGAAAAGTAAATACGTTAATATCCCTTGAATTTTGTTTCCAACAGTAATTAAAGCTGAGTTGACCCGTAATTCTCGCATCTTCTTAGCAGCAACATACACAGGATCTGAGGGGCATACTATTGCTACCCTGATGACACATAGCAAGATCAAAATCAGGCACTAAAAGTCAATCTGAACACGTTCTCAAATTTAAGAGGTGGAGGGAAGTTGAACTATACTTGGTATTTTCAGAAACAATGGCTGACAAAGAGGGCTTGAATATCAGCTCCCGCAGGGTTTCTATAAATGCAGATGGAGCTGAAACAGAGTGCAGAAACCATAAGGCGGCAGATTACCATACTTCAGACATATAAGTGTAGTAGGAGCTTAAAGTAATCAGGAGCAATCTGCTGTAAGCAACAAATTGAGATGAATGCAAAATGACAAGCATCAAGATAGAGAGTTTATATTGCTTGTATATGTTCGCTAAGCAAACTTGGGTCCATGCCTACCTAATCATCAACTTTGTTTCAAAGTAGAACATTCAACTCAACATATCCATTCACTGGTAATGGCCTTTCTAAGGCCAAAAAGTCCATGAAAAGCATATCAAAAGCATTGATCTAGCATTTGGTTGCAGACCTGCTGTTAAAAGATGTATAAATCATAACTCTCTAACAAATAGCACTTCGAATACAATGGCAATTCTAGCCTACTTACTTTTAAAAAAATTAAGATCATTTTTGTAAAAGTTAATATACACAGTATGTTCCTAAATTACGCTCTCTTAAGTGGGCCTAGGGGTTGAATTGATCTCAACCAAGCTGTCAAAGTGTCTTTGATGTTCAGTTCTACGTAGTGCTACTCCATTAAAGTATATATATAACAATTGATTGGTTAAGAAAAATATAAGTATTAGTAGTTTAATTTAATACATTCAAGTTTGATTGAATTACATATTATTAGTTTAAATTAGAACTTAAATTTAAATAGCATTAACACATAATATTGAACACAACATAGAACTTTACTTACAGGCAAAAATCTAAAATTACAAAAAAATTAAAATTAAATTCAAGAAATTTGTACAATATTACATTTCTTTTATGTTTGAGTGCTTAAATTTAACATGTTAACTACATTTTTATTTTAAACATGTAACTTTGTATATTACTACAACCAGTACTGTACATAGTACTGAGCCATATTTACAATAAGATCATCAAATCCAGCTATCTGAACCTAAATTGAGTTCAGTACATCAATTCTTTGGCACCTTTGCATTTAAGGAAGAATCCCATAGTGAAAGTATCAGGGCCAGGGGCTTTATCGATTGCACACATCTTCAAACAGTCTAGAACTTCACTTTCCTCAAAATTTCTTCTTAAATGCATTTTCTCCTCACCATTAAGTGTGGGGCAATTGTTGTTCCTGAATGCTGAATGCAGGCCCAACTGTTTGTTTCAGTGTACAACTTCTTGCAAAACTTTACAATTTCCCCTTCTATTCTTGAAGGATCCTGAGAAGGGGTTCTATTACAAGTTGATCGATGTTATTGTATCTTTTGTGAGCATTGGCCATTTTGTGGAAGAACTTGGTGTTCCTATCCCCTTCTTTGAGCCATAGTGATCTGGATTTTTGCCTCCATGAGATTTCCTAATTTTTTATAGTAACTCCTCATATTCTAGTAAAGTTGAATTCTTGCTTGAAATCTCCCATTCTGATAATCCTAATCCTCTGCCCTTTATAATCTGATCAAACTCAGTTTTTTGAGAACTCTCTTTTTTGATCCTAGATTCCCTTGTTCACTAATGCTCAATCCTTAAGTTTGGTTTTTAGAGCCTTAAGTTTTAAAACAAGAATAAAGTCACGTCTCCCGGAGAAGTTGAAAGAATGCCACCAGCTATTGATTCTATCAGTGAACCCTTCTATGCCATCTATGCCAAGCCACCAATTTTCAAATTTAAAGTGCTTCTTCTTTTTGTTCCATACATCCCCTTGTAATGCTACAGGACTATGGTCTGATATGAGTCTCTGTAGAACACTTTGCCTTATGTTATTGAAGTTGTCATCCCATTTTTCTGATATCAAAATTCCATCAATTCTAGAGGTTGCCTCGAGATTGTCCCCTTTGAACCACATGTAATTGTTGTCTTCTAGCTGTAGGTTTACCAAATTTAGGTCTTCAATAACATCTGAAGATTCCTTCATGACTCTGGTTCTTCTCTCACAATTTCTTCTCTCCGAGATAAACCTTACTACATTAAAATCACCACATACAGCCCAAGGTCCTTTTATTATACCCCTTATAGCCCCCAATTCCTCCCAAACAGACCTCCTTTTTATATAAAAATTAGGGCCATACACCCCTGTGATATGGCAAGAGTAGTTGTACAATTGAGACTCAAATTTACAAGTCAAAGTGTACAATCCAGTTTCCACAATGTTGCCTTTCAAGGCCCTATTGTCCCATAACATTAAAATTCCCCCTCTAGCTCCACTAGCCTCCAAACTTGCATATTTGATCCACTACCTCCCCATATTTGTCCAACTTTTTCTTCCACATTCCCCTCTAATTTGGTTTCTTGCCGACAAATGATATCTAAATTTCACTCCTCCATCACACTTTTAACCAATCTTCTTTAGTCCTTGTCATTCAGTCCCCTTACATGCCATGTAACTAACTTGAATTTCATCAATGACATAGTCATATTTCTCCCCTTACTCCTATTCTAACTATTTCTTAACGACTTAACATCAAAATTCACTAGGCTTTTCAATTCTTGGGAGCCTCGAAGTCTTGTTTACATGCACACTATTTCTGGTTCCATTCTCCTTGCTTGTCTCGCGCTATCCACTTGTAATAGCCTCTTCTTCATGACCCCAGAATCTTCCCCAACTTGATTAAGTTTTGTTGTACCCATACTGATGTCTCCCTTTCTTTATTACTGACCACTTCTTGTTGTTGAGTCTGTAGTGGTTCTGCCTCTTCTATCTCTCACTCTCCCACTTCAGTGATCGATATTTGGTCTCCTATTTTGGAAGTTCTGATGTCCTCCACTTCTGTATCTATCATGTTTGTAAGAATAAAAATAAGTATTTCCTACTTAAAATAGGAATAGGAATAGGAATAAAAATTAGAATAGGATTCCTAATTGGAAAAGAATTCTAATGTAGTGTCTATAAACAGGGTATCAATATAACAATTTAGACAAAAAATTCAATAATATTTTTTCCTATATATTTCTTATATGGTATCAGAGCATTGGTGAGAACTTCAAGTCACTAGTGTCAAATTTCGGTGAGGACGGTGGGACTGATTTGTGTCATCTTTCATTCTGAAGTTGTTGTGCAAAAGACAACACCGTCACGAGGCTCGGGAAGCCCAAGTGACCAAACCCCAACTAGACCCACCAAAAAATACCCATCCACGCGCCCCCACGCGCCAATCGGAGGTGGAAATTTTCCAACGAGATTTGTTCACGTGCCGGCGCGTGAGTGCTGCTCCTTTCACTTTTTTGAGTTTTTTTTCTTCTGTTGGGGTCGTCTAGTGTTTCTGATCAAAACCCATATAGTTTTTTCCAGATTCGATCACCAAAATCAGGGTTCCAGTGATTTTAAGGGCATTTTACGGCAATATCCTGGCAAAATTAGAATTTTCATGCCAATGTGGGCAGATTTCGGCAGCTTCCAAATTTTCAGACCAGTGTAATAGCTTCCGACAGTTTCCCACGTACATACCAGTCTATGGAGAATAGATTGGGGAGAGTACGTTTTGAAAAATCTCGATCCAAGTGTAGTCATTGTCATAAACCTGGACGCACTCGTGACATATGTTATATTTTGCATGGTCCCTCACCTAGTTATGATCCTATGGTTATAAAGGAATATACTGAGCTCCTTTGAAATCGCGCAAATACACAACATTTTGTAAAACCTCGATCCAAGTGTAGTCATTGTCATAAACTTGGACACACTCGAGAAATATGTTATATTTTACATGGTCCACCACCCAATTATGATCATGTTGTTCTAAAGGAATATAGAGAGTTCCTTCGGTATCGTCCAAATAAACAAACATTTCCACAAGTAGTTTCGGTTGCATAGCATGATGTTTCTGTTGCGAGTAATTCGTTTACTTGTGTGTCGCAGTCTAGCAACCTTGGATCATGGAACATAGACTCAGGGGCTTCTGATCATAACTCGGGTAATAAATCACTTTTTTTTATATTGTTTATTCACAATCTCTCCCAGCTATTACTTAAGCCAATGGGATTCAAGCAAAACCAAAAGGGGTTGGAAAAGCCAAACCCGTATCGTTTGTCACCCTAGACTTTGTTCTTTATGTCCCTGGTTTCCCTTTTAATCTAGCATCGACTAGTCGTTTGACGAAAGCCCTACATTGTAGCATAACTTTTTTTATGATTATTTTCTCATGCAGGACCGTAGTACGGGACAAACGATTAGAAAAAGACATGAACCACAAGGCCTTTACTATCTTACCTCTTCTAATTCCTTAACAGCATGCTCTGTTATAGATTCCCTAGATCTAATTCACAAACATTTGGAACATCCAAGTCTATTCAAACTGCAAAAGAATAGGTATGATCCTATGTACTCCAACAACAGTAGTGAATAATGCCCATACTTGTGTTGTAACTTCACAATGCAAGAATAGGTGTTTGTTGGTTTCTGATACCTCCTTGCATATCAAGCATCTAGAGGCTATATTGATCCCCCACTTTCGTAGTGCCTCATGTGTCAAGCATGCTTTCCTAGCAAGGATAGGAGTTCGGCTACCCATGCCACTTCCTTGTCATTTAAGAACTTTCTAAAGATCAAGTTCACACCTTGTGGTGACCACTTCTTGTATGTTGAAGTTAGGATTCAGGCTAATTAAAAACAAGCTATGAAAGAAAGATTGATAATTCCCATGACCACTCCAATTCTCTTTCGAGAACAGAAACTTGTCTCCCCTTCCAATTTTTACTCTTAGGCTTGAGAGAATCAGGAATGACAACCAGAGATTCCCGATTGACTTCCAAACCCCCACACCACAGGTGTGGGACACCTCATTTGTGTACATCTGGCGGTTCTGACCATAGTTATGCAAAATTACCTACTTCCATAAGGAATGCTCCTATTGGGCAAATTTCCAAAGGCATTTTTTGAGCAAATTCACCAAATTAAACTTTTCTCAATCTTGTTTCCTTGCCTCAAGATGTTCCTCGACAGATTGTCCAATATTTTCACCACCTTGTCAAGGATGGGAAATAAGGACATCACATAGGTTGGCGATGAGTCTAGGACTACATTTATCAATACAACTCTACCACCCAAAAAGAGGTACTGTGATTTCTAGAGAGCTAGTTTCTTTTATGTTTTCTCTATTATTCCATCACATATATTCATTGCTTAGTGTTTGGCACCCAGTGTCATTCCCAAATAGAGTGTGGTTATCTCCCCAACCTTCACTTCAAATATCTGAATTTGTTGTACATCTTTAACTGGGAAAATGTTATTTTTCCTCTAGTTAATATTCAAACCAAAGGAAGCTTCAAAGACTACTATGATTAGCCTTAGGTAGCAAATTTGTTCTTGTTTAGCTTCACTATTAAACTACTATGCCAGTAGCATATAGTGGATGAGTCACCTCCAAAGTTTCATTGTTTCTGTTCTTAATGGTGAAACCCCTTATCCAGTTATTTGTTGCAGCCTTCCTCATCAGATTGTCCAACCCCTCCATAGCTATAATGAATAGAAAAGGGAGTGGGTATCCTCTTGTCTAAGGCGCTGGAAAAAAAACCTGCAGATTTTCATTTATCAAAATGGAGAACCTGGTAGTTTTAATACACAATGCTATCCACTTAAGCCACCTGTTCCCCAATCTCAGTTTCCTAATTGTATTCAACATGAAATTTCAGTTAATGTGATCAAAAGCCTTTTCTATTACTAGCACTCTAGCTTGCACATAATTCCTAGAACTTCTTTAATCCTAGTGTCAATGCACTCACTAGCAATAGAATCAGCATCCATTATTTGCATCCCTTTAATGAAAGCCATCTTATTGTTGTTTATAACCCTGTTGATTACTTTCTTTAGTCTCTCCTCCAACACCATTGCTATGACTTAATAGACACCAAAGAGCCAGTTGATGAGTCTGAAGTCTCTTAGATCATTTGCCCCTACACTCTTAGGGATCAAAGCTATAAAAGTGGCATTGAAGCTCTTCTCAAACTTCTGGTGTGAGTGGAATCTAGGAAGTGTCTACATCAGTTTCCCCTTTGATGTTTCCCAAAGGGATTGGAAGAAAGCCATAATCAAGCCATCTGGGCCAATAGCTTTATCAGCAACACACATCTTAAAACCTGCAAGTACCTCTTCTTCCTTAAAAACTCCTTCCAAACTCTCTTTTTACTTTGTTGAGATTCTTTGTACTTCATGTATGTTCAAAGGTCTCTAGATTTCTGTTTCTTTGTAAAGATTTGGGCAGAAATCCACAATAGATCCTCTGATGGCCACAGGGTCATTTGATTGTTCCCCATTGATCATCATGGAGACAATTGTGTTGAGCCTTCTACGTGAAGTAGTCATTCTGTGAAAAAACTAAGTGTTCTTATCCCCACTATTGATCCACTGAACTCTATCTCTAAGAGATCTCTTCATTTCTAGCCACTTCATCATATTCCATAGCGAGACGAGCCTTTATTAGCTGCTCATCATCAATTAAGGGTCTTCTCTCCCCGATGGTTTCCAAGTCCCCTATTTGATCTAAAATATAATTTTTCCTTGTCCTCTGGTTCCTTGTGCTCCTTGCATTCTATGAGTTTTGCCTTTAACAAAATTAAATTTTTTTGCGAGAATGTAGCCAAAAGTGCAAAAAGAAAGAAACACCACCATTCTTAGACTTTTTCTTCATAACCTTCTACATTCAGCCACCACCTTTAAAATTTGAAGTACAATTTTCTGAATGTTTCACCCATACAAGTCAAAAGGATGGGATTGTGATTAGATCCACGTCTAGGAAGAGAACTTTGACCAATCTTAGTGAACATTTCATCCAAAGGGAAGGAGTACAACAACCTACCTATTTTGGAGGCATTGAGGTGAGTCCCCCCCCCCAAGTGAAAGACCCCGAGAATCTATGAGTTCTAACTCGTTGATGCAGTTGGAGAAGTCCAAAGGGAATCCTTGTGTTAAAATCTCCTCAAACAACCCACGATTCCCCCCACACACATACTCCTCATTGCTCCTAACTTTTCCCATAAATCCTTTCTTTCATTCAAGCAGCAGGATGCATAAACAGCTGTGAAAAACCAATCGAGATCCTGATTTACTCTGCCTAATTTATAGGTAATCATTTGGCTACCACTCTCTAATACTTCCCTCCTTCAAGCCCATTTATCCCACATGATCACCATTCCTCCCTTAGTCCCTATTGCTTTCCGTCCATATTCCCCCATCCATCTATTTCCTTCCAGTTGTTGTATATAACTTCCCACTGTCCCATTTAGCTTTATCTCCACCATGACTGTGATATATGCTCCCACCGATTGAATTTTGTTCCTAACTAGTTCTCTTATCTCCTTCGTGTTTAACCCCCCAACATTCCAGGCTAGAATTTTCAACTTCATCACAACTGAGCAGTTTGTTTACTCTCTACTTTTTTATTTACTCCTTGGATACGTATCCTAGAATTTAACATCAAAGACAATTTTTTCATCTGCTTAAAAATCAATTGCTTATCCAAATTTTATGTTGATATCATAGTTGGAGAAGTCACCTTCTCTCTCCTTTGATCAATCTTTAACAAAAGTGAAGTAGCCTCATTTAAGTTCGAGAATATTGCTTTGGACCCACAGATTTATTTTTTTTCCTTTGCGTCTTTGTTGAAAGGCATCTACATTTATAGGAGTTGGGCCACCCAATGAATTTCTTTTTCAAATTGCCTATGTCATCCGTCTCTCCTTCACTTCACTGCATTCCTCACTTTTTTTATTCAAATTTCTCTTTTCTGCATATAGTTGGGTTTTGGCTCCCAAAAGATCTATTCTTTATGGAACTATTATTTTTTCAATTTCAATATCAGGCTTTGGTTAACATAAGGTAGATAGTTGTCTTGAACTTATATGGTGATGGGCCATAAGTTAATTTCATTCATAAAAGGTTCAATATTCTTTTGAATAGAGGATCGATCCATAAGCTTTGGCCCAAGAGTGCTTAGCTGATCAAAATTCTTGGTAGGCTTTTTCATTAAACCCTTATGCCCTTTCTCATTTGAATGAGAGGAAGGCCCACTTTCTTTTAAATGAAGAAAAGGCCCCCAACATAGCTAGGGCAAAAATGGTCCACTAGCCCTACTCCTTTTGAATAATTGCATACAGCCACATGCCCTTTATCTATGTCCATTATGTAAAAACCAAGATCCTTTCCATTATCCAGCAAATCTTCTCTTTCCCCTTACTCTATGTTTTCCCTTTCTCCACAGTTGATTGACACAAGATGTCATCACTTTCTTCATGAAAAATTTTATCCTCTATGGTTCAACAACCCAAATTTTTTCAAATTTTGTCGGCACCTCTACCGATACCGATAACTTGAATCTCCACTCCAATCTTTAGCTTTAACCGATGTCGGAATATTTTCTAGCGGAACCTTTACTTTAATTTGAGCCCATCTCAAATGATTTTTGAGCTCCGTCTCCAACCATCAACCCCATTTTTCCCGATCTGCTTTATAACCCTTAACATAGTTGAAGTGGTAGACCAAGAACCTAATTCAACACCAGTTGAAATTCGTAGAATTGAGTATGCTCCAACTATGGGCGACCACCAATCTAGCTTTGAGTTTTCTACCCTGTTTTCTCCAAGATCCTTCTATGAAGTGTTTTATGTCCTTCACACTTTGGAATGCAAATAAGAATTGACTATTTTTTTATTTGGCTAAAGATAATGATAATCTAATCAAGGCGAGGAAACGAAGAATGCACTGTTAGAAATGAATAATAATTGCATTTAAAGAAGAAACAAACAAAATTTCAAAAAAGTATTTTATGCAGTTGACCAAAAAAAAAAGAACACCCAATTGAAATAAACAGTCTTTGCTTGAAAAAATGCACATTCTTTTTCCTTTGTGTAGAAAATTCCAATTTGAACTTCATTATTTCGGCTAAAACAAATAAAGTTCCAACTAAATTTTGTAAATATGGATCCAGAAAGAGAAAAAAATGTATATAGTTGAAATAAATTATCACTACATCTGTAAGAATAAAAAGCACATTCGAATAAAATGTGCAATGTATATTTAGAAAAAATATAGAGAAATAAAATTGATTATGTGACAATTAATAGTTGAAAACACCCACTTGAAAGCTGACTTTTTCAATTTTTCTTTGCTCCCACGCACCTAAATGAGAGTACATTCACTCTCTTTGCCACATCAGCATGTCAAGACTATCAAATTACCAAATTAAGAGAGAGGTCAATGCAAAGTTCAAGTGTGAACCAAATAAAAACTCGACAAGTCTATGGGGCTCTCGATCTATTCTGACTAAAATTAATGAAAGATGTACATGATTATTAATTTATTATAATAAAATAACAATCATTGAATTGACATTTTGCTAGCTTAATTAAGATTAATGGATGAATTTTTACATCACCAAATGTGCCAAGCCAGCTTTAACCGAGGCAAGCTAAATTGTTGAGCTAAATATAGTGAGCCAATCCCCGAGCTAGCTCAGTTCGTTGCCCAGGCCTACTCTAAAGCATCCCTTGCTATCTACTACATAGCAACTCTCCTGCAATAAATATTAAATCTGAACAACAGAAACAAATTTGTTTGACATGCACCCAAATCTTGCTTTCATGTAGAAGCTAGAATTTTCAGCTAAGCTCTTCAATAGAAATCGTAATTACCCAACCATGACAAGTAACTAGTTAGCAGTGGAACTTATGGGTCTGGTAAGAGCTGACATACCACAGGGGAGTACTGAAAAGTTTCACTATAGATAGAGAAAATAAATAGAGGTCTCAATAGATAACACATAATATTAATTTTGGTACATGATCGCAGCAACTAACTCTTTCACGAAGCAGTATTATAAAATGGAGCACAACTAACCCGAGAAGTTGTTCCCCCACTGTCGTTCAACTCCTTCAACAGCTGCAGCAATTGCACTTCCCTGTTCTGCAGCCTTCTCCATCCTTGATATAGCATCAAAAAGGCATTTTGTGATATCCAGCAATGCTATAACTTCACCATTTTCCACAACAGGAAGGTGGCGGAATTTACCTGTTGATATGAGCAAAACAAGACAACACAAAAATCATAATAAAGAAATAAGACTCTTATCAGATTACTTCAAGGTAGAAATTTGTAAATACACACTGAATGTAGGATATAAAAGTTCTATTAGAAAAAAGAAACACTAGTATTAATAATCTAGCAAGTTTAACACCAGATCAACGTGTATCTCAAGTACAAGACAAGCACATTAACAAGCAGCTTCCAACTTCATAAACTAAAGCAATATGCCATGTCTTCTGCCAGTTTCAATTGCTACTTTTTCATGCTAGTTACAGGAATGGAAAAGGAAAAACTAATCTTGCTATATTAATTGTAAAGTAATTCCTTGATGAAACTAGGTCTAGGTCTATGAACATTTGTTATGATCTCCGCTCTTTTTTAATGGGGGGGAGAGAAAATCTGAATATAATATGTCAAAAAAGACACCTTGCACCATCTTCTGAAGGGCTTCAATAGCCGATGAATCTGCAGCCACAAAAATGGGGTTCCTGGTCATGACCTTCGAAATAATTGTTTGCTCAGGCCTCAACTCCTCAGCTATAACCCTAGTTGCAATATCCTACACAAAAATCCGAAAGTAAAAAATCAACAAGGCAATAAAACGAGAAAGAACTAATTCTCAATGCTTCTATAGATGTCTTTAGTTTTACTTTTGTAAATGTACCTTCCATATTTCATTTAATAGTCTAACAACTCTCTAGTCTACTCATAGATAAGGGAGGAATAACCTTGCCATGAAGTTGGGGGTTCTTGTCACCAAGGGAAAAGCTGGAAAAAGACACAATTGGGCTTCTGTGGATTTGGGGAGAAGTGTTGGGTTTTACCATATCTAGAAGAAAATACTAAAAGAAAATGAAAAAATACAGCCTCCTGATCCACTTATCTATTTGATTGGTCTCACTGACCACTATCAAGTTCATTGAATGTTAATTATACAGAACTCTATAATTATTTTTTTTGATTAAGGTGTCGCTCAATAATTGATAGAATGGATATTTTTGTTCTTCTTGAACAAACTAAGTTCTACAGAGATGCATAAACCCTGGAGTTTAAAAAAAAGTTTACAAAAAGCAGTACAACAAACATGTGAATGCATTCATCAAAGCAATCACATAAAATGAAAAAAGAAAAAGGGAGCATTTTCAGAAGACCTTGTCAGTTACTATGCCAGAGAGTAAGGCGTTTGCATCAGTCAGTAGAACGGCATCAATTCGTCTGGCTGCCATCCGCCGACATGCCTCGGACACAGTGGTGCCCTCCGGAATTGTCAGTGCCTTGGATAACCTTAGCTTTTTCACTGTTCTCTCCCCAGCAACGGACCTAAAAGAAGACATGTGAGCATCGAAATGCACAAAACGTGCCCACTACCATGCATAAACATTATCACAAAAGTAAGGTAAAATATACGGTTCCCCTACAAGCAAGTGTTTTTTTGTCAAACTTAGTGAATCTTTTTGTGAAGGTAAAGGTAATACTATTAGAACAGTAGCCAGAAGGTAGTAGAAAAAGATGATAAATTGCGGTTTCCCTAAGATTTCCCGAAATTGTGTCTGAACATTTAATAAAGAATTTAGAAAAGAAGTACTTCATGTTCCACATCTCATGAAAAGCAAATAGAGGTTGACTTCCATATAATAGAACATAAAAAAGATTGGATTGATATCTTATTGATATCTTACGAGTGAGGTGGAGAAGAAGGCTTGCTCTGGCTCTGGCTAGTAGGAGGATTTGTGTCAGATTGATTGACAGATTTCTTCAAAGTTGAAATGTTTCGTTTCTGTACCAAACTATTGCGCCTGGGCGCTGGAGGCACTTGACTACTCATAGTTTTTTCCAGAATTTTCAGAGAATATGTCTTAAGGCATCAACACATCGAGAGAGAATTCAATGGGGTTTAGGAGGTGGCTGGGAAGATGCCGTGCGCTAACCCAAACCCTCTCCTCTGCAAATCTTTTTCTTTGCCCCTGCTCTCTCTCCCACCTCTTCATTTTCTCGTCATTTAATTAATGCTAAACTTCTCTTTTCTTACCCTACGTGGATGGTTTTGTTGCACTCAAAATTTTACATCTCATAACTGTTATTATATGTTATTGAATCCTTCACTTTTATTTATCGTGTTTTTTTAAAAAATTAATTTGATATTATCATAGTTAAATTAAATCATTTTCTTATTTTCACAAAGAATGATCTCGTTTGACTTCACACGGAGTTTAGAAGTATGAAGAAAATTTTTGAATTTCGTGATCCTAAATTAAAGTTAGGTCAAATGTACAAAATTGTCCTTTGATCTTGTGATCTTAAATATGTCACGTGGAAAACTGAAATTAAAATATTATCAAAACAGGAAGAAATCATTCTTTTTGAAACAGACTAAAGAGGAAAGAACACCATTCTTTTTTAAACGAAAGGAGTATATATTAATTCGATATCTTCAACAAAAAAAAAATAGATATTCAAAAAACTGTACAAGTATTATAAATTGCAATTTCTTGCTTGTCAATATGATGAAAAATACATCGTTAAATATTTTTCAAATTTCTTATAGTTTGAATCTAAGAGAAGAAACCACCACAACTAAAAATGGAAGAACGAAGTACATGTTTTAACCTTGTTGTTTTGTGATGGTCAGACATTAATGCTATTTTTTCAGTAATTGATCATATCTACATTATTCTTTCGCAATTATTTGTTTATAACTTTCCTTGAATTGCCTATGTGTTTTTTTAATCGATATGCTAGTTGTAACTGTCTTTCATAACTGTCATTTTGTTCATGAAAGTCTCACTTTCAATCAATACATACGTGATGTTGGGACCTTAGGTTTGTCACAAATTCTTTTCAAAATCTCCATTTTCGGAAGTTGTCATACATGTGTTCGAGCGCATAGTTTTTCTACCATGGGACCATGTACCTTCTTGAATAAGAATATTTTTAGTCCGTATCTATCCAATTCTTAGAAACTTGAGATCATGTTATATCCACCTTATAATTAGGTCAACATGATCAAACATAGGTGGTTTGATCCTTTGTATCAATCCACATTATTAGACGTCATCTTATTGTCCTAGGGGTCCGACACCCACTAGACCAATGCATAATTATGTGTAAGTGTTATCATTGATAAATTAAAATTTCTTTTTGTTGTTTTATTTGTGGATTAACAATGGCATCACCAAAATTTGTCAATACTCGAATGGTGGTGGAAGTGTCACATAAGCTTAAGAAATGGTGGGAGAACATTAAATGAGATCATGCTAAGGAGGTTCGTCAACTATTGAGTTTCTTAACATTGCTCATTTATGTTACCCCTGATCGATATCTGATCAAAGCTTTGATAAAGTGTCGGGATCCTATAAGAATGGTATTTTGATTTTACGATTTTCATGAGTTATTGTATCACTCCGAAAAGTTAAGAACTAATCTAGAGCCTAAAATGAGTGTCCAAGGTTTAGATACTGTTTTATGACCTAAAATAATGTTTAGAAGTCATCCGAGAAGTTTTAGAGCCAACACGTCAAAGGGCGTTCATGAAGTCCGGAAACTAGCCTAGTTGAACTAGTTCGAAGGGTCAAATGAAGTCTACAACTTGTAAAGAGACTTTGGTTAGTTAGAGTGTAGTATAAAGAGTCTAAACGTCCAATAACGAAGCCCCAAGAACCACCTGAAGGGTCATAGAGGAGGACCGCAACATGGGTAGGCAGGCCGCCAAAGCAGCTTGCGAAAGTCAGAATTAGTGGGATGCTGCGTGACACAGCCCACACGAACCTCACTATCCCAAAAATTATTTTTTGGAAATAAAATATGTGTTGGCTCCGGGATGTGGAGCCACTTCCCATATTCGGTAAAATCGTATTTTTTATATTTAGACTTCACAAAATGACCAATTTAACTGAGGGGTATTTTGGGTAATTTAGGGGGTGATTATATATAGACTAAGGGTCATTTTAAGTCAATTATCACTCACCCAAACCCAAATTCCCAAAACAAAATCCAAAAGCTCTCACCTCTCTCTACTTTCTCTCTTCCCAAATCCTCCATTGAAGAATGAACAAAGCTTGAGGAAGAAGGTCAATTTCTCTAGGATTTCACTTCAATTTCGTGGATTAATCTTCATTAAGGTATGGTTCTTCACTCTTGGGATTCCTTTCCCCAAAAGGTCCTTTCAAAGTTGATTTCTAAATTACCCAATTCCATTGGGTTTTCTAGTTCTAATGAGTTTTCTTCTAAACTTCAAATTGATGATTAATTGTGACTTCCTATGACTAATTTAGTTAGATTGTTGATTAATTGGTGTTAATTGATACAATTTCATATTGATCATGTATCATTCCCTAAATTTTTTATCTCGGTCATGAATTGATGGGATTTGAAGAATGAATTGATTATTAGACTTGTTTTATCTATTCTAATTCATGTATGGATTTACTAAGGTAATGTATGGTTGGAGTTGGATCTAATTCTTGATG